TTTTCGAGACCCGGACTTGGGGGTGGGGGTCGCTTCGATCCTGGTTCAGTCCGCACCTCCTCGTCCTTCCCCTTCTGTTCGTTCTGGTCCCCCGCCCCTGCTTCCGGCCCCGAAGCGTCTGAGGGTTTCGGGGTCGGAGCAGGGGTTACTTGATCTCGAGACTCGGGCAGCTTCGGGGGTTGCCCCTTCCGGGGGGGCGGCAGAGGCATTCGAGTCTTGTCTCCCGGCCGAAGCTTCAGGGTCTGACCAGTGGGCCCCCCTTCCTCCAGCTTTTCCGGCTGCTCCGTCCTTGTCTTGTGGGGTCGGGGCTTGGGGAGAGGACTCGGCCTCGGGTCCTGTGGTGACGGACCTCGAGGCTGGGGAGGGGCTGACTTGGGGGCCTTGGGCCCCGCTGGACCCCGCCTGGGTTTTTCTTCCCACTGAGCGGGGCTTATTGTTACAAGGAGTGGGGTTTTCTTTCCCCCCCTCTGCGTACGAGTTGGATTTGGTGTCGGCCCCTCCCCGGGTACGGTTCCGTGTTCCCCCGGGTACGTCGGTTCCGTCCTTCCGGAGGTTTTCGGCTTATCGCATCCAACCTGGTGTGGTGCGAGCGGCCTTTGCAGCTTACCTCCTGCGTGACCCGGATTATGCCTCGGAAATGGATCCGTCCACGTTCAGGTTTGGGACTTCGTTCCCTTTCTGGCTCCGTTACGAGGTTCCGGAGTCATCCTGGCTAGCAGACTGCCCCTTGTTTGGTCTGGATTCCTGGCATTCCTTCTGTCGTTCCCGCACGCTGGAGTGGCGGGAAGCTTCCACGGTGCTTCAGGTTTTCCTGGGGGGTGAACTTGAGTACCTGAATGAGTGCTTGTTTGCCCCTGCCCTTCCCCGCGATGTGGGCGTTATTCAGCTCCATGTGCAGGTTCCCTCCCTTTCGGCGGCGCTCGTGGCGGAGGACTTGCGCGCTCGGGGCCTTTTGTGTTCGGCCTTGCGGTTCTTTTCCCTCCTGGAGCTGTCTTCGGATTGGCTCGTGGAGGATGTGGGGACGCTTGGGTCCGTCCCGGGGTCCGGCACCTTGTCCTCGGCTGCGCGTTCGTCGGCTGCCTTGTTGAAGCTGTTCACGCCGATTTTGCGGGATGCGGTTTCCCTGTTCTATGCTTCCCGTCTCGCGTGTCGGCAGGCGGTGCTGGGTTCCTCCGTGGAATCTGCTTGGGCTCTGGCTCTTAGGCGTTCTTCACCTTTTTGTCCTCTCCTGTTTGGGGAGTCGGCCGTGGCGCAGTTTATTCAGGCTGCGTCGGCGGCTTGTCGTCCGATGTCGGACTTGTTGGTTTTCCGGGGGTCCCGGGGTGGGTCTTCCCGGAAAGGTCGTGCCAGGGCTCGGGGTTCCTCTCGTCGTGGTAGGCCTCTGGTGTCAGGTTTGGGGTTGGCTCCTCCTGCGGACCCTCCCTCGTCTGGTCGGCGCGGTGTTCGCGCTGTGCGGGGTTCTGGGTCTCGTAAGGGTCGCCGGCCCTTTCGCGGTTTGCCCCTTTGACGGGGCGATGGGGGGGCGGCTTGCGCTGTTCGCCCGCGCCTGGTCCCACGATTCGTGGGCCTTTCGGGTCGTGTCTCGCGGCCTGCGGTGGCGTTGGGTGGCCCCTCCCCCCTTTGGGGGGTCGGGGCTGGCGGGGCAGGCTTCTTCCCCTGCGCTCTGTCGAGTCGTCTTGGAGTGGGTACGCTTGGGCGTCGTCGAAACGACGTCGTCCCTCAGATGGGTTTCCCGTCTGTTTCCGGTTCCGAAACGGGACTGCGCGGACCTGCGGTTCATTCTGGACTTGTCCCGTCTGAACCCCTGGGTTCATTGCCCCTCCTTTCGGATGACTACGCTGTCTCAGGTTCGGCTCCTCTTGGAGCCGGGTGCTTGGATGGTGTCCCTGGACCTCCGGGACGCTTATTGGCATGTCCCGATTCATCCGCGGTTCAGGGACTGGCTCGGTTTTGTAGTGGGGCGTCTGAGTTACCGCTTTCGTTGTCTCCCGTTCGGGTTGAACCTGGCACCTCGCGTGTTCACACGCCTTACACGGGTTGTGGTGGCTCGTTTGCGTCTCCTAGGTGTTCGGGTGTTGGCCTACCTCGACGACTGGCTGGTTTGGGCTCCCAGCCAGTCAGCTTGCTTGCTAGCCAGGGATTTGGTTCTTTCCCAGCTCGCCGGGTTCGGGTTCTTGGTGAACTGGAGGAAGTCCCATCTGGTTCCCTCTCAGGTTCGGACTTGGCTGGGTCTCGTGTGGGACTCTCGGACCGCCTCCTTGTCTCTCCCTCCGGAGTCTCTCCTGCGGCTGCGGTCCCGCCTTCGTCTGTTTCTGGAGGGCCCTCGGGTCACCCGGCGGTTGCTCGAGGGGCTGTGCGGGAGCCTGAACTTCGCGATGGTGGTCTACCCGCCGGGTCGGGTTTGGCTTCGACGGCTGTTCTGGTTCCTTCGGGGTTCCCCCTTCCGCCTCTCTCGCGATCGCAGAGTTCGACCCCCGGGGGACTTGCGTCGGTTGCTGCGTCACCGGCTTCCTCTTCGGGTTTTTCGGGGTTCAGTGCCTTGGCGCCTACCCGAGCCCTCGCTCGATGTGTACACGGATGCGTCGTCTCTCGGCTGGGGTTTTGTGACCAGTGCTCACCAGGCCGGCCAGGGGCGTTGGGATCCGTCCTTCCGTCGAGCTCACAGTACGGTGCGGGAGTTCGCGGCAGTGTGGTTTGCTCTGGGGAGGATTCGGGTGGCCCGCGGATCGACGATTCGGCTCCATTCGGACTGCTCTCCGGTGGTTCATTGCCTGAACCGCGGGGGTTCGATGCGGTCCTTGTCTCTTTGGGGTTGGTCGCTTCGGGTGACTCGTCTGCTGAGTTCTCGGGGTTTGGCTCTCCTGGCGGTTCACGTACGGGGCGTGTCCAACGTCTTGGCCGACGCCCTGTCTCGCTTCGTTCCCCTCTCCACGGAGTGGACGGTCGACGACGAGTCCTTCCGTTGGCTTTGCCAGACGTTCGGGCGCCCCGAGGTGGACCTCTTCGCGTCGGCGTGGTCGCGGCGTCTTCCCGTTTATGCGGCGCCCTTCCCCGATTGCGAGGCCGTCGGGGTCGATGCCTTTCGGCTCGACTGGTCGAGGTGGGGGTTCCTGTACCTCTTTCCCCCAGTTCGGCTGTTGCTCCAGGTCCTGACTCGCTTAGAGACTTACCAGGGGAGAGTTGTCCTTCTGGCCCCTTGGTGGCCGGCCCAGCCTTGGTTTCAGGCGCTGGTTGCTCGGTGTCCGAACCCGAGGGTTTTCCCGCGGCTCCGCCTCTTTCAGCAGATCGGGCCGGTACGTCACGTAGCTGGTTCGATCTTCTCCTCGAGTCTTCGCGTATGGTTTTTTTGACTCGAGTCTATCATCATCTCTATGGTGATCAGGTGGCCTCCTTGTTGGTGTCCCACCTGAGGGCTTCTTCTCGGCGGCAGTATGAAGTTTCCTGGCGGTCCTTCCGTTTCTTTTTGCGTCTTCGTCGTGTTAGCTCCTTGTCTGTTCGGGTGGTCTTGTCCTTCCTCTCGTGGTTGTTTCAGGACCGTCATCTTATGCCTAACACTGTCGCTTCGTATCGTGCGGCGCTGGCGGAGCCGCTTCAGCTTGCTTTCGGTATCGATGTTACGTCTGCGCCGTTTCGCAAGCTGTCTCGTGCATTGTTTCACCTCCGGCCTGCTCATGCGTCGCCTGAGCCGTCCTGGTCTTTGGACAGAGTGCTCGCTTTCCTTTCATCTCCTCGTTTCGTTGTGGCCCCTTCGGTCCAGGATTGTTTTTCCAAGGCACTTTTCTTGTTGGCTTTGGCCTCTGGGGGTCGGGTAGGGGAGCTTCATGCTCTCCTCCGGCGCAGGGGTTTCTGCTCTTTTGGTCGTGGTGATAGTTTTGTTCGTTTGCAGCCGTCTCCTTCTTTTCTGGCGAAGAATGAGACTGCTGCGTTCCGGAGGGGTCCATGGGTGGTTGATGCTTGGTTGGTCAGGCCGGGGGTGCATCATGTTTTGTGTCCGGTTGCGGCGCTTCGCCGTTATTTGCGCGCCACAGCTTCTGTGTCCGGGGACGCGCTGTGGGTTGATCCGGTTTCCCTTCTTCCCTGTTCGCGGGTTCGGGTCTCTCAGGTCGTCCGCAGGGTTATTAGGTCTAGCCAGCCTGCGGTCTATCCCCGTGCCCATGACGTTCGTAAGTTCGCGGCTCTTGCTGCCGTCTTTGGGAATATGTCTTGGTCTGATATTCGGGCGCGGGGATTTTGGCGGTCGAACAGGGTCCTGGCTGCTCGTTACCTTGTGAATGTCCCTGGCCCTCGTCGGGCCTGTGTTGCTTTGGGTCGGCGGTTGCAGCCAGTTGTCTCGGCTTCGAGTTGAGGGGTGAGCGACGACCGCCTCCCGGGTAAGTCCCTCTTTTTCTGTCTGTGGGTAGTTAGCTCCGGGGAGCCGACGGGGCTCCCCCCAGAAAACCAGCGTTGAATGTAATGAAACGCCATTTTCTGGGTGAGTCCCGGAGGCTCCCCGGCATCCCTCCCTCCCTCCGGTCGGCGGTTTTTCGCGTTTTTGACATCCAGCCTCAAGAACTGAGGTGTGGGTAGCCGGCGCGGGGGGTCTGGGGCTCCCCCTTCCCCCTCCCGGGGAGGGGGGAGCTGCGCAGACAGCGGCGCGGCAGTGTGTGACGTCACACTAATTTGCTTGTTTTCGGTTGGGGAGTTCTATCCACTAGTTCGGTATTAGGTAGCAATTTTAACCAGAATAGGGGTTTGTTTTGGGGCGCTTACCTTTCTGGGTGCCTGTTCCGGTCGATGGCAGACATAGAATGCTTCCAACTACACGGGGGCTTCTATAGGCCATTGCTCCCCTTGCCTCTCTGAGGGGGCCCGGTTCTGGCCGTGGTCCCCGGTAGGCCTAAGAACTCCATACACATGACTGATGCCAAAGTCTGACATTAGCATATCAGCCTGGGATAGCTCCGGGGAGCCTCCGGGACTCACCCAGAAAATGGCGTTTCATTACATTCAACGCTGGTTTTTTTACTCAATTTGACAGAAGAACAAATTCACAACTTCAGAAGACCATTTGGTAAGTCACGGTTCAGGATGAAGTTAGACTTGGAGATGACTATATAAGAAAATCTTAATGTTAGAAAATATAAATATACTGTAGAATAAAATAAAGAATACAGTATAGTAAATTTATTAAATTGATATTGAAGATGGGGAAAAAAGTGGAGCTAAGAAAAAATGTGCACAAATTATTGATAAAATACTGTACACTGTACAGTCAACCCCTGCTATTTGTGAGTTCCATATTTTCAGAATTCACTATTCACAGCATGGGTACTTATTAAAATAAGAAACCTGCTAGATAGTAATGATGGACTCAGTACTCATGAGTCGGAGTGGGGGTTGTGTGGGGTTTGTGCACTTTGAGCCGAGCGCCCACTGATGCTCTGTGACCCAGAGCTGTCGTGGTCCTCCACATCTTCATGCCTAATTCTCACTCATCTTTCCCCCACACATGACTCCTATCTTTCAAATGATCTTGTCAAGTAAATTAATGAGGAAGATAAACCATAATAACACCAACTCAAACCACTGCCAATAAACTGGTCCACTATTATATTACCTTACATCTCTTTCAAGTGCTAACTAGAGAATGCAAGGAATCCTAGTTACAGCCCTGTGAACTAATGTTACAAACTATGCTACCTCTACCACCACCATGTTGCAGCACCATTTACAATAGTCCTCTCCTGGTTTTAAGTCAGATTATGTTTTGTGCCATTTCCAGGAAATTGGCTGCAGTCCTCTTGTTGAGTGCAGGATCTATTTTACCCTTATTTGTGTGACTGATGTTAGATATGGATGTGAGCTCTGTCTGAGCTTACTTCATGTTCTGCTGTCTGTCTTAGAAAGTCTTCCTTTAACCTCTATTTTTTGGAGTCTCCTATGACACTCACAAGTTGTCAGCTTGTGCCTTAATTTTGGATGTCTGGCCTCAGCCTGTGGACTGTGCTATGATCTTGCACTCCTCACTTCATCAAATATAGTCATATTCACAGTCTCACCTCCTTCATTCCTCGCATTTATTAGAGCTTCAAAGTTCAGTACTGTATTCTCTCCATTTACTTATACACGTATTTATCTTTTTACCATTTAACATTCTTCCTTGTCTGAAATAAATATTGGCATTTACCCACCTGTGAGCCTCCTTGCCACACTCCCTTACCTGGTGTGTGGCAAGGAGGCCACACACCTCCTTGGTCCCTGAAGATCATCATGTTTTCTGTATACTGTAATTTTATTTAATTTTTCTCCCTATTAACATTTGGTCTTTTTTCTCTTTAAATAATCTGTCTACATGTCTTTTTCTGTGGGCCCTCAGTTACCTCCCCAAGCTATAAGGGTAGTGGTGCTAAGCCATAGGAAATGCACCAGGTCGTGAGACCAAGCCTTGCCTACTGGGAACCAGGACCAGAATCACACTCTTTATGAGGCAAGTGGAGTGTGGGGATCACAGATCAACCCAAAACCATAAATAAATTAGCACAAGAGACAAAGCAAGGGCGATGCTCAACACTGACCGTGTTGTGCCCAACTGCCACCAGGTGGCAACCCAGAACATCCTGAGAGCCAGCTAACCTGCCACCTGTCTCCAATGGTCACTATGTTAGAAGTTTGCCTCTGACAGGACTCATTCTCTGCTTAACACTTAAAGCTAAGTGGTCGTCCTGGAACATTATTACTGTACTGCTAGGGGTCATTGCTCTATATTCTTCTCCAGCTATGGGTTGTAAGCCATATGGTTGGCCAACTATGGTTGTAAGCGTCCACAGTAGTTGGCTTACAGTTCCCTTTCCCCACCAGAGATATCTGCTCTGAGAATATGGGACCCTCTTAAGCTCTTCTAGAGTCTGTTCACTTCTATGTAGCCCAGGGACTTGTTCTCCATTGTGAGGCCAGTTGATGAGGAGTATAGTAGTTAGCAGGTGTTACATGTGATTTCTGGGCCTTGTTCTCGGTTTCTGGCTTGAATACATTCCCAGCACAGATTTGTGTTGTCTCGTCTTCTCTCGGTTTGCTTTCTGTGTCTTATGCAGAACTGCGACTGCATCTCAACTGGCCTCTAACTGTTGAGTATATCCTCTTCAGCATTCTTGGTTGCAGTACAAGGGTTCTAGAATCATCACCACTGGCAGGCAAACACTTATATGTCTTTAAGTGGCAGCTTTTTGTTTTATGGAGGAGAGGTGCTTGAGTGGAAGATAGCTGTTCTGGTTTCTTAGGTGTTTGGGGGGAATTATTCTATTTGGAACTTCTATGACCGTGAGTTGTGCCTTGTTTTTTGTTGCCCATTTCCTGCTTTTGACATACAGCCCCGCAACCCTGGTGTCATCTCCCTCTTTACCTTTTCTGCTGCTACATATCTTATGTTCCATTTAAAAAATCAAGCGTTAAATGTAATGTAGTGAAATGCTCTTTTCTGATGGAATCTCGGTACCGCCTCATCTCTGTGCCAATTCTTTTCCTATGCATTAGTTGAAGGCTCAGTAATTGCAGCTTGAGAGTGAGGTGGATGATTGGATGGAACCCCAGGTGACTTACGCTGCCATCTGGTGGTAGTTGGGTACAACAAGGTTATTGATGTTTACCCTAGGCAATGATTGTGCGCCTCAGAAATTTGTTCAGATAATAGTATGCTTTGTTTTACCGATCTTTTTGAAGGGTTTTTCTTGATTTAATGATAAATTTCCCCCCCCCCCCCTCCCCTATTCATTGTAGAGAGAGAGAGAGAGAGAGAGAGAGAGAGAGGCAGGTTGTGGTTGCCTGTAGGCTAGCATGGGGTCTATGACCTGGTGCACTTGTTAAGGCTTCACCAGGGAGTAAGCTTCAGGGATCTGCTAAGGACCCATCAGAAAAAAGCATTTCATTACATGCAGTGTTGGATTTGTTTAATATTGCTTTATCCAATAAATAGCTTCAGGTGAATGAAATTTAAATAATTTTAAGTTTTTAATTAGTATGTCAAGAATTAACTTAAAAATTTTGCAGTGGATACACATTAAAGAGTTTTGAATTAATATGTCAAGAATAAACCTACAAATTATGCAGTAAATATAATATTTATCAGAGATATGGCATAAGATGAATTTGAGGAGCTATTGAAAACAGTTTCTTACTGTTATCATTGTGCATGAATGAAAATACAGTGGATTTTCACTCAAAATACAGTGTACCAGGATGTCAGATACAACAGAGTTCCATTCTTTTAGCAAGAGCGTTTCATTTGGTTGCAGTAAAAATAACATAAGATGTCAGGTGTATTTGCTGGGCATGAATTCATTGACAAAGTAATAAAGAAATCACTTAAATAAAATACAATTTGTTTTTAAAGTGATTTGGGCATCAAATTATGTGCAAATGTGTGTTTTATTGTCAGCAGTAATAAAACATAATAATGCACAGTGTAAAATGGTTGAAAATATTAATATTTGATCGCTGGTAATAGCGTCTGGTACAGATCTGTCCATGCGAGCGAGAGTACACTGGTGTAACCAAAATAATATAGTTTATTGGTAGATGCTTGTTCAAGAATTACTAAAGATCATCTTAAGGCAGATAGTGTATCACAATATATTACAACACATTGAAAGTTGTTTAACTTTTAAATTTTTATTTCCGCACATTCAGAAAGAAAAAAATGGAAGCCCCAGCCAAAGCTACATATCAAAAACAGAAGCGTAGCGTGTACAACCGCCAGGCGTATTGTCTCAAGTAGCGAAGACAGTTATGAAGGAGATACTGTTGATGAAACTGGCTCTGATAGAAGTGATAGTGCTGACAGCAATACTAAGCAACAGCTGCGTCATAGGAGGAGGAGGTCAGAAGACAGTGCTGATGAAACCGACTCTGATGATAATAGTGCTGACGGCAATACCAAGCAACAGCTGCGTCATAGGAGGAGGAAGTCAAAAGACAGTGCTGATGAAACCGACTCTGATGATAATAGTGCTGACGGCAATACCAAGCAACAGCTGTGTCATAAGAGGAGGAAGTCAGAAGAGAGTGATGATGAGAAGAGTGTTCATGAAACTGACTCTAATAGAAGCACTACTGTTACTGGCAACACTATAAAACGTTTACGTAGTGATTGGAAATCGTCAGATGACGTCAGTGAAAAGAATAGTGACCATGAATCAGACTCTGATAGACGCTCTGCTGCTGCCATTAATAAGCAACAGCTGCAGTATAAGAGAAAAATGTCAAAGGGGATAGAGAATGAGTCTGTGAGCTCAGGCAGACATAGCACGAGGCAACAAAGAAGAGGTAAATCCAGGAAACGCTTTAAAAGTTCAAATAATGGTCAAGTAAAGGCATCCACTAGTGATGGTAGAGCACATAAACAGAGCTTTTCTCCAGAATTGGAAGAAAATTTTAAGGGACGGAAGAGATCAAGAATTACTCATTCTCAATTACCGCAAGATATCAAGAAGAAACTATTTCAAAAGAGGAGGTTATATAATCAATATGAAATGGCAAAATTATCACCTAAAACTCCATTCAATAATGTTAATAGGTTTAGACAATATTTCCAACATAAACAAGAAGGACACAATACAATACATACAAATCTTGATGAGAAACAAGAGAAAAACACAAAAATAAATAACCAAGCTGAAGGTGAGAGTAGCAGTAAAAAAAAACATGGCAAACAAAAAAAGATAAAAAACAAAAATGAGAACAATGAAGAGATGCCGTGGGTTGAACCCGAGACCGTCCCCGAGGAGCAGAACGCTTCCACTCAACACTCTAACTCAAGACCTGGTGGACACTCTAACACTAAAAAAAAATCTGACAAAACTTGTCATGAAAGGAATGATGTGGTGGGTGGAGGTAGTAAACAAGTTGAATCAAGTACTGTAAATGTGGGTGGTAGTGTAAATGGTGGGATGAACGATACTGTAAGTGATGAGGTGAGTGGTACTGTAAATGATGAGGTGGATGATACTGTAAATGATGAGGTAGGTGGAACTGAGATAGATGAGGTGGGTGGAACTGTAAATGATGAGGTGGGTGAAACTGTAAATGATGAGGTGAGTGGAACTGTAAATGATGAGGTGAGTGGTACTGTAAATGATGAAGTGGGTGGAACTGTAAATGATGAGGTGAGTGGAACTGTAAATGATGAGGTGAGTGGTACTGTAAATGATGAAGTGGGTGGAACTGTAAATGATGAGGTAGGTGGAACTGAGATAGATGAGGTGGGTGGTACTGTAAATGATGAGGTAAGTGATACTGTAAATGATGAGATGGGTGGAACTGAGAGAGATAAGGTGGGTGATACTGTAAATGATGAGGTGGGTGATACTGTAAATGATGAGGTGGGTGATACTGTAAATGATGAGGTGGGTGGTACTGTAAATGATGAGGTGGGTGATACTGTAAATGATGAGGTGGGTGATACTGTAAATGATGAGGTGGGTGGTACTGTAAATGATGAGATGGGTGGAACTGAGAGAGATAAGGTGGGTGATACTGTATATGATGAGGTAGGTGATACTGTAAATAATGAGGTGGGTGGAACTGAGAGAGATAAGGTGGGTGGAACTGAGAGAGATAAGATGGGTGGAACTGAGAGAGATAAGGTGGGTGATACTGTAAATGATGAGGTAGGTGATACTGTAAATAATGAGGTGGGTGGAACTGAGAAAGATAAGGTGGGTGGTACTGTAAATGAAGTACATGGCAAAAGTATTATTACGAGTAAACACAGTGAACCAAGCACAGTAAATGTAGCAGATACACTTGGACGTAATCTGTCGGGCAGTGAATGCTCGACCAGTCCTAGAGGTAATATTATATCAAAGAATAAGAGTGACGAATCACTTTCTCATTTAAATCTAACTCCTGCATCAGATGCACACAAAATAATGCCCCTTGACAGAGGTGTCCAAATGAAGAATAAACATTCAATTCTTAACCGGGGAAACATGTCACTTAGTGATATTACTGTTAAGGGGGAAAGAAACTCCCAGATCATGAAAAAAAGTACAAATTCAGAGATAAAATCAAGTAAAATGAGGCATCGATTAGTGTCTCCAAATAGAAGGATTACGAGACAGTCTTCTGACAGCTGTATTAGACGCAAACTGAGGAAGATGGTTATTCATAGAAAAAGTCAAGTGTTTGGCAAACAAAAATGAATAATAGTTTTCCACAGCCATACTGTATAACCTTGATTTAAAACTGAAATGCAAGATTTACATTTATTTTTATTAGTAGCTTTTATACCATATAAAAATACCTGAATGAATGCTGTCGGAATATAATTTGTACATGCTGTATTGCTTTTATAACTTGGATGTATTTTAGTCTCTATGAAAATATATCTACATTGTTTATAGTACATTTTAAAATTTAAATTTGTGGGTAGAGGTAATGTTGGCAAGGTGAGCCACTGAGAGCTGTGATGCAAGCTGTGGTGAATGCTTGAGTAGGATAATAAGCATCTTGTAGGAGTAATACAAGATGTTTGTTGCTGGCGATGGTGACCAAGCAATGGCTTAACAAATAATGTGTTTAATTTTAAGAGACGAACAAAAAACCGTATATCCACATTGAAGGCTATATGATGTGCATGTTAATAATATGAGCTTGCATACAATTCCACAAACTGTGTACTGTGGTATTTTGTATAATGCACATCTGTACTGTACATTAGTTTATTCACCTGTTCATCTATTTTTCATTCACTGCTAAATCACATTCTTCCTTGTACCCATAAATTCCAATTATTTCATCTATCAATGTAAAAAAAAAAAATTGAAATTTTATTTTAATTTTTATTATTTTTTATTTTTTGAGGGATCCAGTTAAGTATCTCACTAAACAACTGTTGATCTGTTGTTATATGGTCAATCTCTTAACATTTCCTTTACTTGGGGAGGTCATTCCTCAGATGTTTTCAAGTCAGTCATTTATGCCGGAGTTTCCTTGATGAAGGCTTCACCATTCAAGCTGCTGATGGTTGTTTCCTTTTATTATCTAGCTTTGAATGATTTACATGAGAGTGGTAAAGGCACAGTGTTGTTCTTCCATAGAGATCCATCCTTGTGCTGCTGCTGCCTACAGATCTCTAGCTCAGGGAGTCTGGTCTCCTGGCGTGACACTGTGTATCTTGATGTAAATATGAGTATGCACAAATCTGCATTTTTCTTGTTTCACGTTATTTTTTCTATCTAGCTGGTTTAAGCGTATATTTCCTTATTACTGTATACTGTACTGCTGTTACTCACTATAAGCCATCACAAAGTCAAATTCATGTTTCACATCATCTTTTCTTTTATATCAAATTGTTTGTATTGGTGGTTACAATTTGTGTGTGCGTGTCCAAGTAGTATTTTTGGTTCCTACCTTCAGCTTTGTTAACACCTCCATCTCTACACGTAGGGTTTTGATAGCTTCTTCCAAATTGGCACTTCCTTTCCTCGAGGAGAAGCAGCCTAATGCATGACAAATATTTTCGAGCATTAGGACGTGATGGCCCTAAAACATTTGCTGAAAATGTTCCCATATGTTTGGTTAACTCTAGAGTGAGACATTTGTTGATTACATTTAGAAACTGAAAAGAATTACAATTTTGATGTTTGTCTAAGCATGAAAACACAAAGCTGCAAGTGAAAATAACAAATTAAAAAAGAATTCAACTGGTTATTGAGAGATGTAAGAGATGAGCACAGTGGCACAGTGTGTGGGGCCCAAGAGGTCAGTAGTAGAGTGACAACATGGCAGTCATGTGGGAAGTTCTGCCACCAGTGCCCGTCCTCAACAAACTGTATGCTAATTACAGCTGTTACTACCATTCAACTCTAATTTTCAAATTACTATAATGGGAAAACATTTTCAATTAAAATATATAATTTAAAGTAGCCGGTAGACATTTAATATTGTTTAATATTGTTTGCTCACAAGTTTAGACCAAGCTTGTGTAATATTGAAGCTTATACTGTACCTGTCAGTTACTATTAGCACTCATCTATCCCCAGCAGGGAGGATACTTTAATTTTTACTTATTACTTTTATTGGATATTTGCAGTACAGTCTAGTATTTTATGTTTTGTGTGTGAATTATTTCTATTCAAAGTGCCTGCCATAGTTTAGATTATACAGTAGTGTATTTAGTAAACCACAACTTATTGATCTTTTTATTGTGGAAGCAGAGCCTGTAAATATATCTTCCTAATTTTATCGACTGTCTTTATGTAATTATCCCACACATTACTTACTGGAGAGAGATACGACAGCAGCAGCAGTGAGTACTGGTTGCAGCAGAAGTCAAGACCAAGGCCTTATTACGTGTGTCTTTTTTTTTTTTTTGAGATATATACAAGAGTTGTTACATTCTTGTACAGCCACTAATATGCGTAGTATTTCGGGCAGGTCCCTGGAATACCCTGCCGCGAAGAATCGTTTTTTCATCCAAGTACACATTTTACTGTTGCGTTAAACAGAGGCTACAGTTAAGGAATTGTGCCCAGTAAATCCTACCCGGCCAGGATACGAACCCATGACATAGCGCTCGCGGAACGCCAGGCGAGTGTCTTACCACTACACCACGGAGACTTTTCATTTCACTTTTTTTCATTTCTTCTCAACCCCACAACTCAGATTTCAGGAACCAAGGCTTTTTGTTTTCCTGTCATCAACACACACATTAGTTATTCAAAAGATCTTTGTGTAATTTACTTTGGTAACAAAAAATGAGGAGAGCCCCGTCGGCTCCCTGAAGCTATTAAACACTGATCAGTGCCATACTATCAGGTACCATCAGTCACAGGATTGCCGGGGACCCAGAGCCAGAACCTGGTCTCCACAAAGAGGTGCAGGGAGTGATGGCCTATGAAAACTTTGTTTAAAGTTTAACATAATTGCCTCTACCAGGAAAGCACCCAGAAAAGCAGGTGAACCAAAACAAACCACTGCATGGTTTAAGAAGAGAGACATCGGCCTCAAAATCACCAAAAGAATTCTCCCAACAAAAATTTGGTGGTTTAATTTTTGTTGGTCGAGTTCTTTTGGTGATTTGGAGGTCTCTTGTTAAACCATGCAGTGGTTTGGTTTGGTTCACCTGCCTTTCTGGGTGCTTTCCTGGTGGTGGCAATTATGTTAAAGTTTAAACATAAGGCAAATCGAACTCTGCGACTGATGGTATTAATAAGTAGTATGGCACTGATCAGTGTATTATAGCTTCAGGGAAGCTATAGGTGCTGGTGCTTTTACATGCTTGCCAACTTAAGTCTATATTATGTAAGAAAAACATAAGAAATATTGCCGGAACAATTGTGAACATCTTCAAGAGAAAACTAGATAGTTTTCTCCAAGGAGTGCCAGACCAACCGGGCTGTGGTGGGTATGTGGGCCTGTGGGCCGCTCCAAGCAACAGCCTGGTGGACCAAACTCACAAGTCAAACCTGGCCTCGGGCCGGGCTTGGGGAGTAGAAGAACTCCCAGAACTCCATCAAGCAGGAACCAACAAGACTCGCCCATTAAGTGACGCTTCATTACATTCAACGCTGTTTTTACTTTTCATGTTTGCACTTCTTTATAAATAATTTTGAAATAAACTTGAATATATTAATGTTATGTCTCAAGGTTTAAAGCATGTTTTCCCTTAAAACATTAATATTTTAATTTGCCATTTCTTACTACAGTAAGCGAGCTGCTTAGTTCTGAATAAAACACTTCACAACAGTTAATAACATTAGCATGATTTTATTTGCTCAAATTCGTGTCATTGTTGGTACCACTTGCCAGGAGAAATTGTAATGTCAATCTATCATATGATGGACAGATATCAAGAGAAGCTGTGGATGTCAAGACATTTCAATACATCTGACATTACCCAAGCCCCGGTCTCAAAGCATTATTTTCAATTGTGAATGAAAACTATGTCATCTCAAAAGAAAACGAACCATAGAATTTTATTTTAAATACTATGTTTAATGTCTTTCCCAAAGCATTAACTGTTTTAGAGCTATATTTAAGAAGTTAATATTCATACCTTAATTTTTTCCCATGTTTATAGATAATATAATTTTAATATCAACCTATCATATGATAAACCAGAAAAATTTCTCCACAGAAATTTCTCCTTCAGTGCCAGGATTTCTCAGGATCTAGTCCGATAAAACTTAATTTTCAAAAGTAAGACATGACACCAATTGATCCAGGCCCATCAACTTCCTATGCTCATACTCTGTAACTCAAGATTTTCTATGAAATACCTTAGGCACTCATTTGTGATAAAAAAGTGCATTAGGTTTCATAACCTTATTTGTGGCACTTTATCTCACCACTGAATGGTTTTTATATTCCTGCTTTTTCATCAATGTTGAATGTCATGAAATGCCAATTTCTGGGTGATCTGGGTAATTTACTGGAAATACTTGTAAAAGTAAATTTATATATAAAATGCTATAGTTAATTACTTAAGTGTAGTTACAGGATGAGAGCTATGCACGTGGTGTCCCATCTTTAAAGTACTCTTTGTCATATAATGCTTTGAAACTACTGATAATTTTGATCTCCGCCTGTGTAGGTGGAGGCTAAGTGTATAAAACTGTGTAGTGTTCTTTTGGCAAATTTTTCAATAAGTAATTGTAAAACTTTGATATACTTCACAGCAGTACGACAGTTTTGATTGCAACGTCTGTATGGCCAATCAAAACACTACAATATTCACATTATCAAGAAATAAAAGCCATATTTTTTAGGCGAATCTAAACCGAGATTTGCACTGCCTGTCCTAATTTGGAATCCCTGTTGTAATTTATTTATATACACTGATAAATTATCCGTGTAATTTATTTATATACACGTCTAAAGTGGCCCTCCTCACTTATACACTAGCACCCCAGGCATCTCTCGCCTCTTCATTTGCCTACTGGAGATGGGTACCAGAACCCTGTCCCCTCACAGAGGTGAGGGAGTGGAGGGGTTTCAGACACCTACACACCAATGGAAAACCCTGCTAAAAAACGTTGAAAAGAGGGGTCACAAAAATTCAGAACAATCAGGGCCTGATAACAAAGTCAGGCCTCACCATGTAGAAAGATCAGGCCATGTAGAAAGTAGTAGTTAATAGTAAACAGCATAATATAATGTTTCTGGTCAGGTAGCACTAAAGTGGTGTAGCATTGTCTGCTTTTGTCAACATGGTATCATAGCCTTTACTGCCTATTCCAGCACTTTGTTATTCACCTGTAGGGAGGTTCACGTGGATCTCCAGACCTCTGTACTGTGGGCAACTATTTTGTTTGGGTTATTTCAAGATAACTTCGGGATCATATGTGCCATTAGCTGATATACACTGAGTGGCATTTGTTCTTGTGTTATGGCATCAGCCCTACCTCTCAATCATCAAGGAGCAAGAGACTGTATTTGAACATGATGGCAAGTATCAAAAAGAAGGTACTGTACTAAGAACATGACAGTCAGGCGTGTGTAATTTAAATATTTTAGCGAGTTGAAAAGTATCGTATCTTTGCAGGCAGAGTAGTGGCGAGCCTCTTTAGTTAGTTCAGAGCTGTCCTGTGTTTAGTAAAGCTTGGCAGTGTTTAGTGGCTGACATGGCTATTACAGTTTACCAATTTTTTATTACAGCATACTCGTATTAAAATTGACATTCCCATGTTTGGTACAGTGCTGAAAGTAAAATCCAGGTCTTTGTTCCATTAAGTGCCCACAAGTCAACCATCTGTGGCCAATACATGAAATAGTCAAGCTATTTCCCAACTTCTGGTTACGGTAGCAGGATGAAGACAATGGGGACAAATCATATTTAATAATATGCAATTTGTTATTTGTAATAGGTAACTCACTCACTCTGCAATGGTTGCAAATTGCATTATGATTGGCAGGGGAACCCAAGTGAAGAATTAGTTTCTGGAAGATGGAACACACATGACATAGCTGAAAAAGCATTTGTAAGAGGCATCAACAACATGGCTGGGAACCAAGCAAAATTTGTCTTGTATCTACTGAAGATGATCTGCCAAATAGGAACTCAAATGCAGAATCTGTTCTACCATGTTGAGAGAGAAGAGAGTGAGTGGGAGGTGTGAAGGACGGAAGAGTCAAGCTGCAAGCTTTATTTGACAAATTTACCTTTGTGTGGTCAACGGAAAACTTCAAACTTAATGCTGAATTATATATACAGTATAACGGTTAATACAGTAATACCAAGGGATATAAGCGAGAGAACTTCATATAATGTACACAGTATATTTAAAATAAAAGTATACCATTTCCCATTGACAATAAAACTCATTCTATGCATCATTATTATTAAGCAGATTTGAGTGGAATGTGGGTAAATATTTACACAGCTGGCTCTATTATTTAGTATACAAAGCTAAATATTTTTAATAGTAACTAAACATTTTCTTCTAAAAATATATATATATATAATTTTTACAACTCGCTGCACACAAACCAATATACATATTACCTGTCCAAATTTACACAGTTCCACCAATAACTTACCAATTAAATAACTAAAGTACATAAACAAATATTAACACGTTCTGAAATATTAATCTATTTAAAATAATACCAGAAATGTTTAATATTTTCTGTTCATGTGCAGTAATTAAAATCTATTAAAAATATCAAAATCAAAAATAAAAACATTTACCTAAATCATCCCTCTGTTAAGACTTCCTAAAATGACATTAGACTCTACGTACATATTGTGCATATTGTGAGGTACACACACCACAATCTGTCCTATTGAAATGAGAACAACTGAAAACTAAATGCATGCCTTATTAAAAAAAAAAAAATTATAATAATAAATGGAATGACAATGAAAACACTACACCGGCATTTTTTTTGTTTTCAATCATTTCATTTTGATCATTATTTCTGTGGGAGAAATTGTAGACTTGCATATCACACAAGTTCACAATTTGTACATATCCCCCTATTGTTGCTGTGTACAGGAGGATGGGCTACACTTAACACTTGGAAAGATTCTTGGGTTAAGAAGTGCTCATCAGAATAATTCTGAACTAGGCCATGCGATCTTAAAATGCTTCAGAATTTTTTTTTAGCTTCCCTCAATGATAATCATTTATGGCAAAATTAATTAAAAGGCTTAACTTTCCATAGCCATTGTTGTAGTTCCTTCTCCGGTTTCCATTGTGGTTGACGTTCCATTATCCAACTCATCCAATGTTATAGTCCCGTCCTGTTTAGGAGAAAAATTATTGTAAACATTGTTGCAAAAAACAAACACAAGGAGATAAAAATATTGAAGAATAAATCACAAAGCTTGTCCATTTTCAGCGTACCATAGTTATTGTATTTGGTTATATTTCCTCATTCTAAAAATACAAGGACACTGTACTGTACAATGGATCCCCCATTATCCAGATCCTTGATTTTCACTTCTTGGATTATTGGATGCTGTATTTTCCAGTTCTCCAACCCCCATATCTGTGAAGTCTAGATATGATTCCCCAAAATATTTATGGCCCTTGTCTCCTAGATTATTAATTGAACAGGATTCCAAGATATTTCCCAAATGAATTTGAATATAAAGAATTATGACATTTGAGAAAATTTGCATTTACCTGGGCCTTTAACAATTAAGGTACCACATAAAAGTTACTAATGACTAAAAAAAAAAAAAACTATCACAGTTCTAGAAATGTTACCCTTTGTTTATTCATTGTGACCTTCAGTTCTTCTTAAGTTTCTTATAGTTCACTTCACTATAGGCCACAGTTCATCCTTAATATAAACACCCCATTATTGATAATGGAATCTCCACCCTTCAAATGTGCCAAAAGTCTAAGTTTCTTGTAAAACTGATTCCACCACGCAGGGCCATTGATCCCCAGAAGCTACACAAGGTAGATGCAAGACTGGGTACATGCGAGAACAAACAACAGTAGTTTTGAAGATGGCAAGAAAGTGAACTAATAAGTGAGGCTACTGTCACATCAGACCATACCAGAGTATCAACACCGACTGAAAAATGTATGAAAAGCGTTATCCTCAATAGGAATGTTACTTGCATCAGTTATCAACAGTAAACTAATCATTATACATACCCAGAGGTACTTTAGAGCCAGAATAGTTGTGTTGTGGAGTTGTGGCCCGATGAGAGGGTTCATCTGATGCATATAACACAGTAGCCAGCTATAAAAGATTAAAATAATTACTATTCAAGAATTTCTGCAGTCAGCATCTGTGGGATGCAGTTACCAAGAATATAAATATTTAGCATATATTTATTGTCTGGATTTGATAGAATACTGAAGTACAGGGAAAAAAAAATCACCTTCCATAACTAAGAATGCCGATATGGATAAAATGTTGTACTGTACGTTAAATAGTTCAACATTATTTTCATGAACAAACTCAAGTGTTCATGAGTCAACCAATCAAAGTGTTTATCATATGTTGTACTTGTATCAATAAGAAGGCCCTTTGTGGCTGTTCATATATCCTGTAATTATACTTTTGCATCAAAGGAATTAAAGTTTAAAGTTCTACATAATAGCTGTGACTTCATTTTTGCTTTGGACTAACTCATAATCTAAGTTGATCAACACACAGTAGTAATCTGCATGAACGAATAGAGTGGCACCCTCCAAAACATGGATCATATGTTATACCTCATCTTTCTCTGCCTTACATCAAATACCTACATTTCAAAAATTCATAACCATCCATGAATAATGTAAGGTAGCCCATACAATGATCAACTCCATTGCCAGCCTCACTTTTCTATAGCAACTTGAACTCATTTATGTTAGGATGCCACTTCTTGTTCCTATTCGTTTTTACCCAAACTACCCTTGCTGGCAGACTTTTTTTTCCATTGAAATGATTAATATTAAAGAAAAATACAGTTTCAAACAATTAGGTATAATATATGGTGCAGATGATATCCCTCTCCTGACTGGATAAATAGTTATCTTGTGCATACATGTATACAATGATGTATAAGTGTAAAGATGAAGCCATGAAAAACTACTTACAATAGCCAACATGTTGATGCTGTAATCACCAACACTACTTGTGTTACTCTGGAAAAAATAAGAATGACAATAAATGTAAAAAAAAAAAAAAATCAGTATGAGGAAACGTTGATAAGCTTGTTAGAGCCAAGGTAAGAGGTGCAGGATAGCACTACAATACACTTACTATACTGGGAGGACAACAAGTAATAAGTGTTCTCAAAATATTGAACAAGGCAAAAGGTACATAGTAGGAAAATGGCAGAGTTGCTACAGCAATGAGGGACTAAAGAGTTGCACACACTCCACTACTCTAGGCTGTGTCAAAGGAGAAGAAAACTCACTCAACATCAAGTTATAAATATATAAATAAATTATATATATTGTATACAGTATATACTGTAATGTTGTACCTAACAGGCCAAGTTGCCCAACCAGCTGAATTTTTGCGAAATATTATATTTTCACAATTTTTTTTATATGGAATGATTATGCTTTGCATTATGATTTGGAGTTAAAACATTGAAATTTTATCAAACCTAACTCAGCTAATCCAATCTGACATAACTTGGTAATTCACATTCTTAATATAATAATACTACATATAATAATACTGTATATATAAATAAAAGCCACAGGTATAAAAATAATAGCTATTTTCTAGAACAATGGAATTAGCATTTTAGTGCTAAATCACCCAGTGATGACAGGCAGCAATACCATTGAGGGAAGTGAAGAAAAAATTTCAAGCTAGAAAATGGTACCAAATGATCCATGGGATCCTTTTAAAATGGTACCAAATGGTACCTTGGTAATAATTAGGCCAATATCAGGAAGAGGCCTAAAAGTACATAAGATAACTGTAGATAATCTATGTTAAATGGAGTGGACGTATCACTGGAGAGAGGAATACGTATTTTTTTTTCCAATGCCAAGTTTAATAGGCTAGCCTTGATAACCCCTGAAATGTGGCAATCACAGTATGCAGGTATGTCAAACATGTGGCCCTTTGCAAGCACATCTGCGGCCCACATTATTCTCAGCACCATTAACCTTTGATGTTGCCAAGGCTGAAGAAAGCCTGCAGATAGAACTACAGTGTTAGAAATGCAGTCGGATTCTACACACAAGAGCCTTCATGACAACACACGTGTGACCCTTATGGCCCTTGTGGAACCCTCAGTTTGACATGCCTGCAGTATAGGCTAATAAACAAGATTCCTCCCTGTGAATGCCACAATTACTTCAAGCTGTTTATTCAAATATTCTCATGGTAATCTAGGCAGATAGTGGCTTTTCCCCTTCCCAGCTAGCATTGCTTTCACTCTCTGGATCAGTTGTATAAATTAACCATATCCGATAACTATTTGTATTATTAATACACTGGCCCTTAAGAATGCATTAGTGTTGGCCTACAGTATTTGTTGCCATTTATTTAAGAACCACAACAGAACAAGCTATATGCACCATATTGTACCCTAGTCAAGGTTAAAAATAAACCAAATCCTGTGGCAGTACATTGCCTAACTTGAGGCTGAGCAAAAGTCAGATATTCACTCAATATTGAGGATGAATCAAGACGGTGTGTGCATATTTCTGAAGGACTCCTGGTTCAACCATGATGGCAACTGGAGGTCTCGACATCTGCTCCACCTGAGGAATCGCCAGGAAACATGCCACATTTTGACCATTTGGTTTCATTTCTGCAATGAAGCAGTCCTCTTCAATGGCCCAGACTAATATGTCTGGTGGCAGCCCGTCCTCCAAACAAAGATCCAAAAGTGATTCCATGCACCCGCCAAACCCCCTGTTTATGAATGAAAAGCGGTTTACACACGACTCACAACTGCTGACGTTCGAACATATCCGGAACAAGTGCTTCACTGACGAATTTTGTTCGAACCACAACGCTGTAAATGCTTCACCCACGTACTACAAATACAAATAATTACCAACAGAACCTAAACACCTAACCTATGCCTATTTATACACAATATGCCAATATATTATAATATTAAATTATACTTGAGAAAATTCCCGTTTTGAATGAACAGCATGTTAAAATTTATGAATGCGTCTTTGGGGTCGACCGCTGAATGTAATGGACTTGAGTCGAGGATGGGTTGCTGGTGGAACATATCACCTCAGCCACAGAAAAGTTCATACATCTTTCCATTTTCTTCTTGGGTCATAGGGCAGTTAAATATAATTGGTGTCTGGCATTTGCATGGCCGAGACGTGATGGAGGTTGGTGGGTACTGGTGGGCATGGTGTGCCCTCAGGATATGATATAAACTCAAGCCCAATTGGGCACAAAAATGCCTTTCTGTGACCTCCACAGGAGCAGGAACCAGAGGCCTACTATGCCCCAAGGGAACACTCAAATTTTTATATGATTAGGTTACAAATGACCTACAATTTATCTTGCACTTTAGGTACATTTAAGTCCAAAAGTAAAACTCAATTTTCGAACTCCATTATATACTATAGGTCACAATTATTAATTATGTAGTTTTAGACGAGATATCTATAATATGCTACAAGCTCATGAAGTAAGATGCTCGGCATTCACAAGATATAAATTGTCTGGTATATAAACAACGCAGACACGGCTCGGTGATGACAAATAACATTACATACCCTTTATTTGGTCCTTTCGCCACAATAAAGGGCAATATAATACCAATTACGGCCCAGAAGGCGGTGACGACAGCAACAGGTACCACGGCAGCCCCCATGTTTACTAGTGTCAGGTGATCCCTGCTGCCGGGGACCCTTCCCAACTTTTATTGACAACACTACAATTGAAAACAAATGATGCTGTATACTGGTTTGTTGTTATAATTCCTTATATTTTGAGTTAAATGTGAAATTTAAAATAAACTGTTATGTAGTTTTATGCACATGCATTTTAGTTTAGAATAAATAGGAAATCTTGCGTCTGGTAGCGTAGTTGATCATATGACATGATCACTGCCCATTTCTCAATTTCTCAATATTAAAGTAAGAATAGAGTATGATTTAATAATCTAGATTTAAATGTTAAAAGTTGAATCCAATATTTATAATCAATATAACACTTTCATATTTTTATTTTATTGCAAAAACAACAAAATTGAATCTAGGACAGAGCACATTCACTCAGCGTCTTGCAGCAGTAATCCACACAACTGCTGCTAACATTTAATTTACCATGTAACACCATTTACGGCACTTACTGTGCTCTACAGTAGCCTGTACTACAACTCATAATTTAATTATTATTTAACAAATATTAATTTTAATTTAATTTGCACTTAATGTGCCATACAAATATTATAGTCAGTGGTACAGTAGGCTACATGCTCGACGATCCAAGCAGTTAACCGGACCTAGGCAACTGTTGTGGGTTGCATCTTGGGAAAGTTTAGTTAGACCTACGGGGGACTTTGATACAAACGTAAATACAAGTTTCCTGTCCAAGATAAAATGAAATATTCCTAGGACCACAGCTTAATCACTATTATGTAGTATATATGTTAGGGGCAGGAAGCCTGTATACGTAGGCTTATCAAGGTCTCCATAGTTTACTGAAAGTCCCCATGATCCAACCCTCTGCAATTGCCAACTCTCGGCAACTTCCTAAATGCTCTTAAAATAGCTAGTCATTTCAGTCCATAAGAGTGGAGATCTCGCTGAAATAAAAAAATTTAGACCAACAATAATCCTACCCACCTTGTTGAAAGACCTCCGAATTGTAATTAAAAGCTTCCAACCAATTTATAAAAGAGAGTAAGAAATACTTACTTAATAGCATGTAATTAATGTTATAATAAATACCATGTAACCAATTTCACTCTCATCTTCCTTCGAAATAAGTTGTTTTTGTGTTACACTGTTCTTCAATTTTTATTTAATAAAAATTATGCACTTTCTGTTGTCTAACTTCTTGCACTTCTCTGTTAAAGTGCTTATTCATGTACTTTATGTTCCTTGTTTATTTTTAGTGTTGGCCCCATTAAACTGAAATTACAGTATACTTATATTGTAACTCTATGCTCTGTTATGTTCCAAGAAAATGTTATGAGAGAGTCCACTAACTTCTTTATATTACACATTAGTATTTAGATTGTTTAATGCAATTAAACTTCTGTACTGTTGCTACAACTACTGACTCCATAATGTAACAATTTATGCCTGTCATCTTTAGGTATCACCCTTTTTTGTATTCATTTATTTTTCTTCAACATTCTCATTTTGTTAGCTTTCTCTTTTTAGTATTGTTTTTACCCTTCATACCCTTAGTTAAATTTTTTCAAATACCTGTATTTTTAAGTGTTGCAGGAAACGCTTTGCATAATAGTGGCTTCATCAGTGTGTTTAATTCCTGTCCCAACAATTGTACATTATTACTCTTATCTTCATTGTACATACTGTACATTCTTTTGAATAATAATTAGTAGTACCAGTATGTCTGTGACGTAGTGGTAAACCTGGCATTTCGCAAGCACTTTGTCCTGGGTTCATATCCTGGCCAGAGAGGATTTACTGGGCATCAAGCCTTAACTGTAGCCTGTTTACCCAACAGTAAAATGGGCACCAGGTTGTTAAACGATTTGGAGTTATATTCTGGGAAGCATGGGATTTAGGACCTGCCCGAAACGTTGTGTGTGCTAGTGGCTGTACAAGAATATAAGAACTATTGTATGTACAGTATAAATAAAATAAAATAAAAATAAATTATTACCTTTTTTACTGCTGTAGGTGAACAGTCATCGAGTGAAAGGAAACATGGCCAACCATTTCAGTCCTGCATGGAGATGGAACCTGGGTCCCTAGGTTGTGAGATCACCATGCTATAATGTGCCATGAACTAAGAATGTAGAGTAAGTAGTCTTAGGGACGTTAGTCTCATTGCTGATCATCACCCTTTTTAACACTATTTCTGAACCATTGAAAATGAATACGAAGTCCTGCCTCAGGTGCACAATAAACTACCACTGACAGCATGAGTATGTAGTGCATAATAAACAACCACTTACAGGTTTAGTATGGGGTGCACAATAAACTACCACTCACAGGATGGGGTATGAGAGTGCACAATAAACTACCACTGACTATTATGGGGTGCACAATAATATAGCCACCACTGGCAGAAACCCAAATAATTATTATGTACATCATCCCAGTACAGTATCATTTTTATTCCAGAATGTATAATTATTAAGATACAGGTTGTTTGCAGCTTTTTGTATGCATAATGGTTTAGCATTATCATCACTGCCTCTTTTTTTTTTTTAAACCAAGTTTTCATAAATGTAGAAAACTTCCAACATTCAAGTGGACATGTCAATTTAAATCCTCAACACCTTCTTTGTTGGTAAATTGGTAGTTGTAGTCACCTTTCACTTTTAAAAGATGTGATATTACCTCGATATATAATATTTTAAACCCGATTGCATACTTTTGGGCATTTGATGTGCTTCACAGCACCACAACAGGCACTTGTTTATACAAAATTTTCCAAATTTAAAGTGCAGCTTAGTACTTTTCCTACATATACATAAATATGCATTGTCAATCTGCTGCATGTATGTATTTTTTAGTAATTATCAAAGCACTAAGTTTGCTCTATATATAGTGGATACAATTCATCAGTGGATACAATAGTTACGATATGGTTAAAATTCTCAGGAATTGACAGGGGTAGATGAAGATAGATTATTTAACACGGGCGGTACACGCATTAGGGGACACAGGCAGAAGCCGAGTACCCAAATGAGCCACAGAAATATTAGAAAGAACTTTTTCAGTGTCATAGTAGTTAGTAAATGGAATGCACTAGAAAGCAATGTGGTGGAGGCTGACTCCATACATAGTTTCAAATGTAGGTATGATAGAGCTCAAGAAGCTCAGGAATCAGTGCACCAGTAGATTGACGGTCGAGAGGCGGGATCAAAAGATCCGAAGCTCAACCCCTACAGGCACAGCTAGGTGAGTACAGGCATTATCATCTTCTGAGTAGTAGGTATGGGCACTTATTATTCGAGTGCTTTGGCCATTGTTTTCTCTGCAGTTTTACAGGCACTAAATACTAAAAATTATTAGCTTCTTAGTCAACAGACATGGAATTAATTAACTAGATCCACTTGGAGCTACACCCGGATAATAAATTAGATACACCTGGAACTACACATTGATGATAATGCTACACCAAGTTACTGAATATTATCTGTAATGAAGATTGTGTGCAGTGAAAATCAGAGAAGTGAAAGTTGTGTCATGAAGGTTGTATGTGGTGAAAAATACTTGAAGATCTTGTGCAGTGTGGATTATTTGCAGTGAAGATTACAGGTAGAGAAGATATAAAATAAGTCATCATATATGTTGGACATACAGGTATCTTAAAATTTAGGCTCTATAGGATTCCTAAGGCCCTTGGGGGTGGGCCCCAATTTTGCACTTTTCCAGCACATGCAAACAATGTAGTCATAAATTGTTTTGGTTATTTAACTCCAATAACATTTTAATAAAAACTCATTGTTGTTACATCAGTGTGTGTGTGTGTGTGCTGTATGGGCAATACTGGGGTACATGTTAGAAAAAGCCAAAGAAGAAAAATTACACCATGTAGGATTACAATTTATATTCTTAGTACAATACTGTACAGTAATTTTATTTATAGACAGGTATATTACATCAAAAGGAATGAAATTAGCTTTAAATATACAATGGATTGTATAATTAAAGATATACAGACAGTATAGTGAACTACACATTCACAAGCCTTGAATGTACTGCTAATAATTAGTTGGAAAACCAAATCAGACTCTTAAAAATTTGTGTTGTAAGGTGTTCAGATATAAACTGTTGACTATTTCAATAAGAATGAACAATGATAAAAAATTATTTAGTCTTCTCTGATAACGAAAAAAAAATAACATTTTCTCAAGCTTTGTGCCAATAGTAATCTTTCGTTTTCTGGTTTAGATAACGATATAGCCACTTGATTCGTTTCTGCATGTCCCGATACTTGCTTGGGCGGTAGGTAACCATTTGCAGCCCGAAGAATTTTCGTTTTCTTAGTAACATTTGATACTCATTTCCCTTGAAACCACGTAACCATGGAGGAACAGAATAAAGCACATCTGTAGGTCTTAAAGTTCCATTTCCTAGTATATCTGTGAAGTAACCAAAGTACTGTATTTAATTTTAGCATATAAACTGCAATATTTGGAATATATGTAATTTGTCTATCAGTGTGAAACAATTTGTATATCCTTACTTTATAGTGTTAAAATTTCAATTTGTTTCCATTTGTCCACATGTGAAGTATAGCCAATACAACTTGCTAAAATTTCAATTTGTTTCCATTTGTCCACATGTGAAGTATAGCCAATACAACTTACCTATGTAATCGTTCTGACCAAACAATGCTCTCTTTTCAGCCCAGTTGTTTTTAGGGCGGAAAAGTGGTGTGGGTAGTCTTTTCCCATGAACTATGTGTGGCAACAATCCTGCAAGAACAAATAAATGAGAAAAAAGTCAATCACTGCTTTCCCTCATCCATAACAAGGTATAAACAGTTTTAATGAATAAAGTCGGAGAAGGAGGAGAATAGGAGAAGGCCTGATCAAGGACCGGGCTGCGGGGAAGTTAAGCCCTGAAATCATCGCAAGGTAGGGCAATGAATAACTTTATTACAGTGGTACCTCGGAATACGAGTGTCCCTGTATACGAGTTTTTCGGAATACGAGCAGGATTTGCTCGGAAAATTTACATCGGAATACGAGCATTGCCTCGGAAGACGAGGGTGTTGATACGCGTACAGGCCGACCTAGCGCGTGGTGACACGGCGATCGCCCCTCAGTTTACCAGTGCCTCGCGCCCAGTGACTATCCCGCCTGAATTCTTCACCAGGATTTTCAGTGTTTTGTTGGATTTTTGGCCATTTGACCATAAAAGTTGTTATTATATATCTCACCATGGGTCCCAAGAAAGCCAGTGGTAAGGATCAAGGCAAGAAAGCGCATGTGAGGATGACAATAGAGGAAAAACAAGAGATCATTCGGAAGCATGAAAATGGTACACATGTTGTCGAACTTTGTAGGCAGTACAACAAATCCACATCAACGATATGCACTATACTTGCCAAGAAAAAGGACATTATGAGTGTTAAAGTTGCAAAAGGCATAAGAACAATCATGAAACAAAGACCACAAGTACTTGAGGATGTGGAAAAGTTGATTTAATTTTGATACACGACAAGGAGTTAAAGGGTGATAGTGATTCAGAGGCCATCATTTGTGAGAAAGCCAGGGTATTGCCTGAAGACCTTGAAAAGAAAACCCCTGGAACGAGTGCAGATATGAAAGAGTTTAAGGCAAGCAGGGGATGGTTTGAAAAATTTAGAAAAAGAAGTGGTATTCATAGTGTTGTGAGGCATGGGGAGGCTGCCAGCTCAGACAAACCAGCGGCTGAAAGATTTATTGAAGAATTTAAAGAGTTTGCAGAGGCTGAGGGATACCTACTGCAACAAGTGTTTAATTGTGATGAGACAGGACTGTTCTGGAAAAGATTGCCTAAGAGGACATACATTACCAAGGAGGAAAAATCATTGCCCAGACACAAGCCTATGAAAGATAGGTTTACGCTTGTGCTGTGTTCAAATGCGAGTGGCGATTTGAAAATTAAACCCTTGCTTGTGTATCATTCTGAAAATCCAAGGGTTTTCAAACAGTATAAAGTGCAGAAAACCCAAATGTGTGTGATGTGGAGGGCTAATAATAAGGCATGGGTGACTAGGATTTTTTTTTTTTGAGTGGGTGAATGAAGTGGTGTGCCCTGCCATAGAAAAATATCTGCAGGAGAAACATTTGCCACTCAAGGCCCTGCTTCTCCTCGACAATGCTCCTGCTCATCCTCCAGGCTTGGAAGATGAATTGTTGCACAGATACAGTAATTTTCTCACAGTAAAGTTCCTTCCTCCTAACACCACTCCTCTAATTCAGCCTATGGACCAGAAAATCATAGCGAATTTTAAGAAACTTTATGAAAGGGCACTTTTCCGGAAATGTTTTGAAGTGACTGAAGCCACAAAACTCACCCTCAAAGAGTTCTGGAAACACCATTTTAACATTTGTAGTGCTTTAAAACTCGTTGACAAAGCCTGGCAAGAAGTGACTCAAAGAACCCTGATCTCTGGCTGGAGAAAATTGTGGCCTGAATGTGTGACAGAACTAGACTTTGAGGGGTTTGAGCCTGTAAATGATGTGCCTATTGTTGAGGAAATTGTTACTCTGGGCCGGCAAATGGGCTTGGAATTGGATGGTGCTGATGTGGAGGAGTTGGTGGAAGAACACAACGAAGAACTGACCACCGAAGAACTCCAAGCCCTTCAAAAGGAACAGCAAGAAGACCCAGCTGAGGATGTTTCTCCAGTGGAGGAGGATGAGGCAGCAGCGAATGTCCCTTCCGCAACCATTAAGAAGTGGTGTCAGATGTGGGAAGAAATGCAAACTTTTATTGAAACGACTCACCCAGAGAAAGCTGTAGTAGGCCGTTGCATTAATCTTTTCAATGACAATGTGATGCCTCACTACAGAAACATCTTGCGAAGAAGGGAAAAACAATCATCAATGGACCGCTTTGTTGTGAGAAAATCGAGCAGTGAGCCACAACCAGGACCTAGTGGTATGCAGGCAAAACGTGCCAGAGAATGCACTCCAGAGAGGTCCTCACTGCCTGATGTTATAATGGAAGGGGACTCCCCTTCCAAACAGTAACACCTCTCCTCCTCCCTCCTCCTCACCATCTTCCATACGCCAACAGGAGTCATCAGCAAGGGTAAGTAATAACTTGAACATACTTTTGTACTGTAGATTTTGATGAATTAGGTATAAAATTTAGTTTGAAGTGAGGTTTTTGGGTAGCCAGGAACGGATTAATTCATTTCCCATTATTTCTTATAGGGAAATTAGCTTCGGTTTACGAGTTTTCGGAATACGAGCTGTCTCCAGGAACAGATTAAACTCTTAAACCGAGGTACCCCTGTAAAATTGTCATTAAAAAGGTTAACACAACAGTTTGCTACAGTTTGATTTGGGTGACACTTTTCAGCAAACCTTTGCAATTCTTCCCACACTGCACACATTTGCTTAATAAATGAGGAAGGGACATCCTCCACTCTACATCAACAACCCTCATACCATTTTCATGTTTACAAATGATCTCTAGTTTTACCTCTATGGTCATCACCACATGTGTTTTTTTAGATTGAACCTTACCATTGACTTACTTGGGACCCATGGCATGATATATAATAATTACTTTTATGTTCAAAAAACAAAACAGCACAAAAATACTGAAATTTTTAACAAGCGCGATCGTCACCAAGTGGGTGGCTCTGGTAGACTGAGGCGAGGTCGGCTGTGGCACCAGGAACACACGCTCGGTCGTCCCAAACGCATATCAACAAAGATCGTTAGTCGACAACATGGTCGTGAGGCGAATCACATTTTCCGACAAAATTTACGTTGTAACTCGAAAAATTTGTAAGTAGGGGCAATCGTAAGTCGAGGTGTCACTGTATATGGTTTAAGTATAGAAATGCAGTATACAGTATATAAATATGAATGAATAATAGATAAAACCAATAAAAGGAATATCAAAAGATTTATCTGATCATTTGGCTGTGATATGCAAGATAATCATTAATAAATCGGTAAGTGTACTAAACAGGGAGTCTAGTGACAATAGAATAAATACTGATAAATTTTTATTAACTGAGAATAAATGATTAGTTAGTGATTTTGGAGCAAGAGAATTTGAACAAACGAACCTCTGAATGTATGGGATGTAAACAAGAAATGCTTGGTTAAGACTGCCAAGCAAGTGCGTCGTGCTACTTAAATTGATATGATGAGGTGTTAAGAGCAGCCAACATGAAAAATATGTATTTACAGTACTGTATATAAACACAAATTTAATGAGAGAAGGAAGCAAGAACTCATGTGTATGATGTGATTAAATGGGATGTGAAATGATTATCTAAAAAGAAAATCAAGAGACTGGATCTAGGAAAAAAATAAAAAAGCAGGTTTTATTTAAAATGAAGACCACCAAGGAAACATGAATGTTGAGATAAAATGGAAGCATATTAACTGTTGAAGAAGAAATTAGAAGCAGGTGGATTATATACAGTACTAATACTTTGAAAATCTGAAGGGTGGAAGTGGTGAAAGCACACGCGATCGTAACTGGGTTTCCTGGTGTGAGAAATGTGCAAGATAGAATACCATCTATTAACGAGGTAAGTGCATCAGTACAAGAGATGAAATTTGGGAAAGCTGTAGATGTCGATGATACATGGAGAAGTTATTTATGATAGATAAACAGTTATTCATCTATTGTCTTTCAATGTTATGAATTTCACCCCTAAATGCACAGTGTAGAAATGTTTTTGTACGAGTTGCATTTTATATGCATGTACAGTACCTTTGTTGTGAAGTTTTTCCTCATAGCCATAGTTTCTGAGGAGAGGTCCCTTTGCCAGCTTTTCAGAATAGTAACGATGTCTGACAATGGTAAGTTGTGGAGTCCAAGCTGCTGTGCACCAAGTTCCGCTGTTTAACACACACTGTGACACTCCGCGAAGGGCTGTCGGGGCTGTCTGGGAGACACTCCGTGATATTGCTCCTAACGAGCGTAAGAGTGTGCCTGCAACTGCCGTCATTGTCGTACCTGAAATACAACAAACAGGCGACATGCAATTATTGCTTGATAACCTGAAGACAAACAATTCAAGTCTCTGTGTAAATTTTTGAAAATTAGATTAGGGTTACAGTTGTCTTTAATGTTCATGATTTTCAGATAACATGTGAATTTTACATAACACATTATACTGTACTAGCAAAAAGAGATATAAAAGTAGGGTTAAAAAAGCCAAAAGCTATACTGCTCGATGTCATTACTACTCTTTAAATATATTTCATCCTATTCTAACGTATCCTAATGAAAATAATGTGATTCATATATACTGTACTGTATAATGTGCAACATCACTATGGCATCAGTTTAACTCTTGGTAACCATTATGGTTATTAATGGAATTAATGGGTGTATTAACAAGGTATGGCGACTGAGAAGGGTATGGAGTCAATGCACTGGATGAACGATAATTGGAATTGGATATTAAGACTCCTATCTTATCACCAAGGGTAAAATACCTGAAATCCTTGCACTGTATCCATATTTTGCTTCCAATAGATAAATGACATATGAGATTAAGAAACACGTAGTGTATTATGAAGACTAATAATAAAGAGCAGCTCCCCTATGACTGTAATATCTCCACTGCTCAACACTTGTGTATTAGCAATAAGACCTACCATGTATGTATAATGACTTACTGTTAATATATAACCCTTGAAATAGAACATTCTCTGTAACAAGCTGACATTGTAACTATAAAGTGTGAAGAATAGATGAAACTGTTTATGCAATAATCTAAGTTGAGATCTCATAAAGACCTTTTGTGCCCGCTGTAATGCTATTTGCGCTACCGCTCACAGGATGAGTATGGGGTGCACAAAAAACTAGCCGCCTCTGGCGGCAACAATCAAAATCAATGTATATTAAGAGGTTGAGGAGCTGGGCCTGGGGCCTGCAGGAGGGCACAAATACCATTACAGTACCTGAACCAATACCATCAATAGTTAAGTGACGCCGCTGGTAGTTATACCCATACGTCACGAGACTCCTCTGAATTTCTTTTTTACACTGGTATACGTTTGTGTGTCACCCTGATCAATCAAGAGAAGTGGCTGTTAGCAACGGCGAGGTGTAAAAATGGCGGTGATCAGTTGTTGTGGTGAGTCGCCGACGATCGGTTATAATGCTGCTGTAGCCGCCACGTTTTCTGTGATGGTCGACGCCACTGGGGTCATTGCTATTCATATATATTCAGTTTTCAGCAAATTTTAAAGCCAATAATGGAATTAAGATACATATTGGAATTTGTAGTGATATATAACTTACACGCTTAATGGAAACTCTTAAACAAAATACTGAAACTAGCGACTGAGGTATACTTTAAAATTTGCAGTTATAGCTCGTTTACAAATTTGTCAAAATTGTTTTATTATACAGGTCGTATATAGACGTAGTCGATTTCTGATTCATATTACGAGGCTACCCTACCCGTAGCTCATGGTAAGCCTTATCCTATTTGTTTTCCCTGGAACACGACCCCCCAATCGGTTTACAGCCAAGTTCCCAGTAACTGCTGGGTGAATAGGGGTGGACCAATTCTACCTTCCCTACCAGGGAGTTTAGGTAGTCTATAATATATAATAATCTATAGTCCATGATCCTATAAGCAGAAGGATGGAAATTAAAACACACTAACAACCAACAACATATATATGGGGGGTAGAAATAGCCTAAGCTACTCTATCCCTTTGAGATGTATTTTTTCTTGTCTCAATAAACATACTTGAACTTGAACTTGAACATATATATTTTTTAAGTTTACAGTATTTAATACTAACACTAACAACAAAAATAACTACGTTAATTCGGACGAAGAATTATATAATATTTATATTATTTGGACAAGTATAGTAGATATATATACACGTCTACATAATGTCGGTTAGGTACGTCTTTCCATCTTTCTGAATTGGTTAAAGTGAGTGCAAGAATTTATTGCATTTGTTAGGTCATTCCACAATTTAGAGTGGGTGGTTTCAGGGCAGGGGGGTTAGGAGGGGGGGTCAGTAGGGACTCTCTGGGGGGATTAGGGGCATGTGTAGGGGGCCTATGCTCTACATTGTATACACTAACCAAGAATTATGTTAAAACAATTCATTACAGTTCATAAGTGGCTTTACAAGAATGTAAAACTTCAACTGTACTCTCATAAACCCAATATACCTTCTTGTATATAAATAAATAAATAAATTAATAAATTACAGTAAAAAGTAAATAAATATTATCTAAATTATAATAAATAAAAGTTTATTACAAAAAACTATGTGTACAGGCTGAAGACTGTAGTTTCTTGCTAAAATGTTGGGATTTTTTTTCCGCCTGGCGGTGTACATAACGAGGCCGGCTGCCCCCAGAGAACCCGCCAAGCTGAAGGCTGAACAGGACGGGGGACATCTCCCGTCACGCAGGGTGCAGTCGCACCTCCACAGATCTCCAGTATCAGCTCTTGATACTGGTAATGGCTCAAAAGGGCCACCACTTACGGGCTATTCATGCCCGTGCCACCTCTTGGGTGGCTTAATCTTTATCATATCATCAGGCTGAACAGGCCATGTGCTCTCCATCCTCGCGTTATTCCAGTGCCGCGCCATTACCGTAACATTTTCTCAAATAACTTTTTGGTTTTCATAGTGACTTTGATCATTTTTTGCCAAGACTATGTCTGGTAGCAGCAGCAATCGTCCCGGAGGTGTTCAGAGGAAGAACGATTTGCTAACTCCACAGACACCCAATTACGGTTTACTCTTATATTATGTTGACAAGTTAATTAATTTTTCAACTAACTGTGCTAATCCAGAAGTTCAAAACATGTATGAGTACTTGAGACAAACCAAAGAGCTGATCATAAGTGAGGCCAATGAACACAGGAGGCAAGCTAAGCTCGATTCTTATTCAAGCCAAGGACCTTCAACCAGTGAAGCCTCACAAGAAAGTCAAGAGGCTTCAATCAGTGAAGCTTCAGCAGCTGGCGGTCAAAACTGATCTTGTCAAGCTCATGTACTGTACAGTAATATTAGTGTTGTGTTAGGTTACGTAAATTTTTTCAAGAATTATTGATTTTAAGACAGTAGAGTTTGCAGTACTGTGAAGAACTGCATCAATGCAGCAGACGAACTACAATACGGTAAGTTAAAGTTTCTGTTTAGTTTACAGTACTGTACTTATATATTTTTAAATTATAATGTATGAGAAATTCAAATTATGTTGGTTGTGGTATAAAAAAAATGCGATTATGTTCACTTTTGGACTTCCCCGGTAATAATTCTGCTTATCCGGCGATAAGCCGGATAAGGGGTTCATTGCTATTATAGTTCGGATAAGTGAGCTTAGTCTGGCTGTCTGTCCCCGGCAAAATTAATTCAATTTTGTATTAATTATTTATTTAATGGTATTTCTGCTTTGATTGAGGCGGAATCTTTGAACATCAAATAGATACATTTGTTACTCGTGTTGTGTCTTGTTGCAGTCATCTAAGAAGCGTTTGAGGTCAGGATTGGTATTACAATTTAAGGTTTTGAAGATATACAGTAGAGTACACTTGAGTTAAAGTATAGTAGTCACCTGTCAGACTTATATATAGTGTGCCCAGGACATGTTCGGCAAGCCTCTTGTGGTCACTCGCCTCACCTCTACAAATACTTGTATTTAATAATAATAATAATAGTAATAAACATAATAATAATTATTATTATTATATTGATAAGATATACAATTGATGTGATGCTTGATCGTGATTTTTCAGCACGTACAGTAATAGTATATTGTATATAAAGCCACTATTACACAACGTTTGAGGATCTTATACTTAAAGTTGTCACTGACTATTGATACAAGCATGGGTCCTGTAGTACTCTGGTTATAGTTATTTCCTCCCATTGTAATCTCACCTCTCACTATTACCGTCTCCTCTTAGATATGTACTCTATGACCAAGGTTCAGCATGCTCGCTTCTCAAGTCAATACAGGGAGCCTCTTCTGTGGAAGCACTTCCAAGACTTTCTCATAGTAAGCCGGCCGACCAGCTCAGTTTGGGAGCCGGTCGGCCGAGCGGACAGCACGCTGGGCTTGTGATCCTGTGGTCCCGGGTTCGATCCCGGGCGCCGGCGAGAAACAATGGGCAGAGTTTCTTTCACCCTATGCCCCTGTTACCTAGCAGTAAATAGGTACCTGGGTGTTAGTCAGCTGTCGCGGGCTGCTTCCTGGGGGTGGAGGCCTGGTCGAAGACCGGGCCGCGGGGACACTAAAGCCCCGAAATCATCTCAAGATAGTAAACAAAAGTATGAGTATGTATATATGTACGTATAAACGTATGTATGTATATACTTGCATGAGTCAAGGTCAGCTGGTTGTCTTAAAACAACCGTTCGTTGCGAAAACAGGAAGACGAACCCTGGGTATTATTCATCTTTTTGCTGGAGACAAGCCTCGCCCCGTGACCAATTTGGACGGTATCATCAACATACCGCACCGCTCCTCCACCTACAGGCGCTTCTTCACACTAAGTATACCATATACTTCTTCTCAATCTTATTACGATCACTATATATATATATATATATATATATATATATATATATATATATATATATATATATATATATATATATATGTCGTACCTAGTAGCCAGAACGCACTTCTCAGCCTACTATCCAAGGCCCGATTTGCCTAATAAGCCAAGTTTTCCTGAATTAATATATTTTCTCTATTTTTTTCTCATGAAATGATAAAGCTACCCATTTCATTATGAATGAGGTCATTTTTTTTTATTGGAGTTAAAATTAACGTAGATATATGACCGAACCTAACCAACCCTACCTAACCTAACCTAACCTATCTCTATAGGATAGGTTAGGTTAGGTAGCCGAAAAAGTTAGGTTAGGTTAGGTTAAGTAGGTTAGGTAGTCGAAAAACAATTAATTCATGAAAACTTGGCTTATTAGGCAAATTGGGCCTTGAATAGTGGGCTGAGAAGTGCGTTCTGGCTACTAGGTACGACATATATATATATATATATATATATATATATATATATATATATATATATATATATATATATATATATATATATATATATATATATATATATATATATATATATAGTAAAACGTGTCAGAATGATAGGTGGGTATATCCCCTCCACACTCAGCAACCACAACCGCTGATGGCGCTAAATATAGCAAACTTGAGGTGTTCTCTCTAGTTTGGGGTTAACTGGTGGAGTGGCTTCAGCCTCGGTACGGACTGTTGCCAGGTGTCCCGGTACGGACTGTTGCCAGGTGACCCGGTACGGACTGTTGCCAGGTGACCCGGTACGGACTGTTGCCAGGTGTCCCGGTACGGACTGTTGCCAGGTGACCCGGTACGGACTGTTGCCAGGTGTCCCGGTACGGACTGTTGCCAGGTGTCCCGGTACGGACTGTTGCCAGGTGTCCCGGTACGGACTGTTGCCAGGTGACCCGGTACGGACTGTTGCCAGGTGACCCGGTACGGACCATTACAATGTGGCCTGGTACAGAAGTTTCAACGTGTCCGACAACGCGGGTTCGAATCCTCCACACGGCTCCTACTGATTTTCCCATCTTGATGCTATCTTGAGTCTATATACTATATCTATTCTCACAATCACAACAGTAGGGGGATGTTGTTTGTTGTTATAGATTCAGCTATTCGAAACAAGTTCCAAGTAGCACGGGCTATGGTGAGCCCGTAGTGGACTTACCTGGCACCGGAGCGGTGCTGTGTGTGTAGGGGGAGCTCCCAAGATATATACTCACAACCACACATTGTCTGCGATAATGACGGGATCCATGACTCGTAAATACCGTTCCGGACCCTGCACTGAGCGCGACCAACTTGGCCTTGCTGGGGGCCCCTCACAGCCCACAAAAAACCACCTCAAGGGACCTCAACTGCGTCGTTCTTAGACGAGTCATATCTTAATACAGTAATAATGATGATACAAATATTATACTTTGTGGTTCCTATGATTGTCATCCATTCACCGTCTGTTCGCCCGTTAGTTCTTGAATTTGTTCGTCTGTTGGTACATTTGACCGTTGAAATATCCGCCCGTTCTTTAATTCGTCAGTTCAGTCACCCGTTCATCTGTACGCAAGTCCAC